CTCCTCCACAACCTCCCCCCCCACCCCCCCCCCCCCCCCGTATCCTATAGCGACCCGGCATTCCACCAATGAAAATGGCCGCTGATCGGTTGCCGGGGGTGATGGCACCTTGTTCCTCGTTTTACACTTTGGACTGAATATCCGGCTGAGGGTTGTAATTACAGGTTGTCACCACATGGAGGAACGCTTTGTATAACACCCCACTGTTCTCCCCTGAAGGGGGGGTCCGTTGTCTTATGTTACATCCCCTCTCTGTCCTCCCCAGGGGAGAAGAAGGAGGCGGCCATGCTGAAGGAAAACCTCTGGCAGCTGCTGGACTCCAACACCCTGCGGAGGAGAACCAATCAGAGCGGCTGGCTGACGGCTTACCTGCAGCACCTGGAGGACCTGCAAGTGTCCAGAGATATGCAGAGCCGCGCGATGCTGCTGCAGCTGTGGGCGACACAGGTGAGGGGGAGGAGACTATTCTCATACCCCCCCCCCATCCCCCTCCTTCCATGGCCACTGCCAGGCTGACTTCCAGCTGTGGTCACTGGGAGGTCTCTGGAATCTGATTGGTGTGACATCCAGTAGAGTGGCCCCCATGAGGAGGCCCCATGTCCAAGCTGCCATTTCCTAGGAGCAGTGAAGCTCTGCGGAGGATGGGCTCTATCCCCCAGCGTCCTCTCCATTCCATCTCCACCATTATATGACAACCAATCAGCTGCCAGCACAATGGCGGCACGATTATACAGACAGTCTAGTCAGCACCCCTGCTGAACAACTGCTGAAATAACTGATGTCAGGATAAGTCACCTGGGGTGGAGATGATTCCTTGCTCTCCATTATCTTCTGCCCCAATGGCTGACTCCCCTCCTCAGAGATAAGAGGCCACTGCTGACTCCGCCCTCCAGAGCACAGAACAGGGCGGAGCTCTTCATCCTCTCCTGGTATTTATTTTCAGGGCAATGCCGGTCCAGCTGCCTTCTGGCTTCTGCTGTTCCTGCTGAAGCACCCCGAGGCAATGGCGGCCATTGAAGGTGAACTGAAGGCAACGCTACAGAATGAGACGGGACTGGAAGAGATCAGCCAGAGCGTGCTGGAGAGGACGGCCATATTCAGTAAGTTCCTCACACGAAGGGCCAATGAGGGGCCAATGAGGGACCAATGAGAGGCCAATGAGGGACCAATGAGAGGCCAATGAGAGGCCAATGAGGTACCAATGAGGTACCAATGAGAGGCCAATGAGGGGCCAATGAGAAGCCAATGAGAGGCCAATGAGGGGCCAATGAGAGGCCAATGAGGGACCAATGAGAGGCCAATGAGGGACCAATGAGAGGCCAATGAGGGACCAATGAGAGGCCAATGAGAGGCCAATGAGGGACCAATGAGAGGCCAATGAGGGACCAATGAGAGGCCAATGAGGGACCAATGAGAGGCCAATGAGGGACCAATGAGAGGCCAATGAGGTACCAATGAGGGACCAATGAGGGACCACTGAGAGGCCAATGAGGGACCACTGAGAGGCCAATGAGGGACCAATGAGAGGCCAATGAGGGGCCAATGAGGGACCAATGAGGGACCAATGAGAGGCCAATGAGGTACCAATGAGAGGCCAATGAGGTACCAATGAGAGGCCAATGAGGGACCAATGAGAGGCCAATGAGGGGCCAATGAGGGACCAATGAGAGGCCAATGAGGGACCAATGAGAGGCCAATGAGGGACCAATGAGGGGCCAATGAGGGGCCAATGAGGTACCAATGAGGGACCAATGAGGGACCAATGAGAGGCCAATGAGAGGCCAATGAGGGACCAATGAGAGGCCAATGAGGGACCAATGAGAGGCCAATGAGGGACCAATGAGAGGCCAATGAGGGGCCAATGAGAGGCCAATGAGAGGCCAATGAGGGGCCAATGAGGGACCAATGAGAGGCCAATGAGGGGCCAATGAGAGGCCAATGAGGGGCCAATGAGGGGTGATGTTCCCCAGATTCTGAGTAAGAGGAGTTGCCACACCTGTGTGACGTCTATACAATGACCTGCGTTGTCTCTCCTGCAGACGGCGTGTTGGAGGAAAGTCTCCGGCTGACAGTGGCTCCATTTATCACCCGCGAGGTGCTGACCGAGCTGCCGCTGAGACTGGAGGACGGGAGGGAGTACCTGCTGAGGGCGGGGGACAGACTCTGCCTCTTCCCCTATGTCA